CAGAGCTTTACTGCTACTGAAGGCAAATGAGCAAAATGGTCACAAATCCAATACATTCCGGATTGGCACTGTCCGTAAGAAATCCAGTTGCAGTAGTCTTAACTTAAACTTACAATAACATCTGTATTAGTCTAAACCCGAATACTATGTACAGAATATCACATCAGAAGGAAAAGAGATAGAAAAAGAGAATGAAATCCTGGCTCCTTCTGGCCTTACTTTTATAGTCAGCATGACCTTGAAAGAGCTAAGAGAACCAGTTTAAACCAGCCGTACTCGGCTTCTCTGAAGGAATAACCCAAATATCATGAACCTTCTGTTTGTTTCTTTCATGCAGAGAAGCTTCCAGAACCCTCTTGAATTAATTAGAATAGGAAAGATCTCTACACATCAGAGCAATACTTTCTGCACTAAGAAATGCAAACTGACATAGAGAGGCATACCTTCCTTTGTTTTCTGTATGAGTCACTGATCTGGACTTTTACCTCCTAAAAGGAGGTAACCCTAGAGCAGTGACTTCTGGAAAAATGCAGTGGGTAGGTTCCGTTAACAGAAGATCATTCTCCTGTGTCTGCATGGAGAGTAAATGGCCTTGGCTCTGTATACTTGAAGGAGCGTCTCCATCCCCACCGTTCAGCACGGACACTGAGGTCCAGATCCAAGGGCCTTCTGGTGGTTCCTTCACCGCGGGAAGTGAAGCTACAGGAAACCAGGCAAGAGGGTCTTCTCAGTGGTGGCACCCACCCTGTGGAACGCCATCCCGTCAGATGTCAAGGAGATGAGTAACTATGTAACCTTTAGAAGACATCTGAAGGAATCCCTGTACAGTGATACCTCGGGTTAAGTACTTAATTCGTTCCGGAGGTCCGTTCTTAACCTGAAACTGTTCTTAACCTGAAGACCACTTTAGCTAATGGGGCCTCCTGCTGCTGCCGTGCTGCCAGAGCACGATTTCTGTTCTCATCCTGAAGCAAAGTTCTTAACCCAAGGTAATATTTCTGGGTTAGCGGAGTCTGTAACCTGAAGCGTATTTAACCTGAAGCGTAGGTACCACTGTATAGGGAAGCGTTTCAATGTTTACTGTTTCATTATGTTTTTATATTTGTTGGAAGATGTCCAGAGTGGCTGGGGCACATTAATAAATTGTCATTATCATCATCCTTCTCATTATTAGCCCAGTCCTGCCAGAGCACTAAATCTTGATGAGCTGCAGCAGGCAGCCTTCTCTGTGCATACAGATTTTCGGTTCATAGGAGACTGGTCATTTTAATTTTATTTACTTCTCACTGAACTCTTAAGAGCTCTCTCACGGCACATTGATGCGCCCCAGCCTGCACACAGTTTAGAAGTTGTTGTGCAAAATGTTTTTGTTTCAGAAGTACAGTGGTACCTCGGGTTACAGACGCTTCAGGTTACAGACTCCGCTAACCCAGAAATAGTACCTCGGGTTAAGAACTTTACCTCAGGATGAGAACAGAAATCGTGCGGCGGCAGTGGTGGGCCCCATTAGCTAAAGCGGTACCTCAGGTTAAGAACAGTTTGAGGTTAAGAACGGACCTCCAGAACAAATTACGTTCTTAACCTGAGGTACCACTGTATATAAGGGTTATTCTGTAGAGGCCTTGTTTCAGCTGAAGCTGCAGAATCTGATAGGGTCTCTTTGCTTCTCTCTGCTACATCTGTAGATGAAAGCTCTACTTGGGGTCTTCCCGGGGTTTTCTAGTAATACGGATGATTCAGAGACCCAATGGAGAATGCTGCCTGCTCACCAGCCTCTCTTCTATAATCCTGATTACGACGCCGCTCTTGCCCAGCTACGGAAAAGGAAAACCAAATCCCAGAAACCTGCTGAGGCTGAGCAGACCAAACCCAGTACTGCAATTCCTGAAATCCGTGTGGAAGAGAAGACCATTGAGTGGCCAAAAGTCCGACGAAGCTTTGGCTATACAAGTCAGGACACTCTGTTTCCTCTATCCTCCACCTTATCCTTGAAAGAAGATGCCAGGATTTCCGCCCAGAAGGCAAGAAAGATATCATTGAGCGCAAGCCAAGAAGAGGACGTTCCTTTCTCAGTGATCAACTATGACGCAATCCAGAAGCAAAAGAAGAAGAAGAGGCTGTCCTTCAGCAAGGATCTTCCAAGGAGGTATGACTTTGAAGAGACCTTCCAGACATCGGATTCCGAAAGTGAAGGCAAACCATCAGAAGCAGTATCCGACCAGCAAGGTGGGTTCTGAAATGTCCATTCAATGCAATACATGCTTGAACTTGCACATTTTGAATCAAATGAACTGGAGGGATGGTTGTCATTTACAACATGGGATTTGTCTTCTAATGAATACAGTGGACACTTGGGTTGCGAACGTGATCTGTGCAGGATGCACGTTCACAACCTGCAGTGGCGCATCTGCGCAAGCGCAGGTTGTGATTTGGCGCTACTGCGCATGCGCAAAGTGCGATTTAGCACTTCTGTGCATGTGCTACCACTGAAAGCCAGAAGTAACTTGTTCTGGTACTTCCGGGTTTTGGCGGGTGCGTAAACCGAAAGAAACGCAACCAGAAGCGGCTGTAACCCAAGGTATGACTGCAATAGGGAGCCAGGGTCAAGGACTGCACATTTTTTTAGCCTGAATGCTGCTAAGTCCCTATTCCGCATGGCTTCTAGGGAAGCCAGATGCTTCCACACTATAAATTTAGTGCCATGCTTCATTCACTCACTTTTATACAGGGCATCTGCACGAAGCTTTCATCCAACCATTGTTATCCTGTATTTCCACTGTGGTTCTGTTCTTTCCTCTGACTGTGCGGCCCATCCATCTTTCCAAAGCATTTGGGTGATGCATCAGTAAAAGAGACCCAATCACATCTCAGCACACATTTCTATGTACACAGTGGCGGAGCTTCATGCTCTGGCACCGGGGGGGCTGCGAGCAGGCATGGACAGGGTTGGCACACATCCCGGGGGTGTGGCGCACTGCCCACAGGGGTGTGGCGCCCAGCGCGGGCGGGGAAGCTGCCGTGATGGCACCCCACCGGGATTGCGCTGCCGGGAGCAGTGCGCTTCCCCCCACACTCCTCTTCCTCCGCCACTGTATGTACACATCCCATTACATTCTTTCCAACCGCTCAGCGTGACATGGCTGCTGTTTGTGGAGCCAACAGAAACTCAGCAAACTTTCATTATAACCTTTGGTGACGGTGCAATTTTTAAAGCCCATTTTTGCTTTCTTAATCTTTTAATTATTATTAAAGTGCTTTTTTCATAAAAAACCTAATAATATTAATATAAAGTTTTATAAATATAGGAAAACCAAACAACCCTATTTCTGATCACTGCTGAAATGGCAGTAACTGGAATGGTTTAAAAAATAAAAATATTCATGTTATGGCATTATTGTGCTTATAGCATCATGGGTGCTTCCTGACAGGGGATTAATTTGCAAGTGGACCATTGAGATATTGCATATGGGGTTTATATCTCTCTTGAGTTTTACCCAGAAAGGGTAAATCCAGATTAAATTAGGGACAGGGATATGTTATGGCATTTCGATGCCGATGACATTATGTAGATCAGAGTTTTCCAAGCTGTGTGTTGCAACATGTTAGTGTGTCGGTTGCAATGTGTAGGTGTGTCTCACAAATGCTCCCTGTACTCCTCCCGGAACTGGAAAGAGAGCGGGCAGCTCTTTACGGTTTGCTAGTAGAACTGAATTATTGTGCCACGAAATGATGCACGTCTAAAAAATGTGTCACCAATGTGAAAAGTGTGGAAAGCTCTGATGTAGATGCTGCAAACAGCCACGGTGGTGGCAGCAACAATTTGCAGACCCGAGAAGCATTAATCCTACCAAACCTGCCCCCAGATATCTGGAACCACACTCTTTAATATCATAATGCAAAACAACAACAACAACCCCATGATGGTGTTGTGGTGCTGTTGCATGATGCTGTTGTGGTGACGCAGGTGGCACTGTGGTCTAAATCACTGAGCCTCTTGGGCTTGCCGATCGGAAGGTCGGCGGTTTGAATCCCTATGACAGGGTGAGCTCCCATTGCTCTGTCCCAGCTCCTGCCAACCTAGCAGTTCGAAAGCACACCAGTGCAAGTAGATAAATGGGTACCGTTGTGGCAGGAAGGCAAACTGCATTTTCGTGCGCTTTGATTTCCATCACAGTGTCCCGTTGCGCCAGAAGCGGTTTAGTCATGCTGGCCACATGACCCAGAAAGCTGTCTGTGGGCAAATGATGGCTCCCTCAGCCTGAAAGCAAGATGATGGGACAACCCATTTGACTGGACTTAACTGTCCAGGGGTCCTTTACCTTTACTTCCCAGAACACTGAGCAAATTCTAGGGGCTAGACCTCCCAGGTTTACTTTCCTTCGGACAAGAGACCACTGGAGACCAATGTCTTTGTAGTTTTGCTTTATTTTCAAATATATAAGTAGAGTATAGTAGAAGCAAATAAACACTCCTAAAGCAGGCAGAAAATCAGCCAAGCTTGCTTCGGATTCCACAGGCAGTGCATCTCAGACTGCGTCACTTACAGCCAATCAGAGTTTCCTCTCTCCCTTTGCCCTTCTCTTTCTCCTTCATTTCCGATTTCAAAACAATCAGACTGTTCCTCTGCCTCCTCACACTAGCCCAAAATCTCAAAATCTGTTAGGTGCAGGCCACCACCATTTACACATGTTCAATATGTGCATGACCGTGCATACATGCAACATGCCGAACCCGGAAGTGACCTGAAAACATCACAAAAATGTCGCAAAAAAGGGGCAGAATGGGGCAGGGGCATAACAGGGTGTTTGTAAGCTTTTACAATGGTGTTTCAAATATGTGTGATTTCATATATGTGTGGTGCATGGGAACGTAACTCCTGCATAAATGGGGGGGGCAGTTTTGCCTGTATTACATGCCAATAACTGAAGATAGAATTGTAGAGCTGGAAGGGACCTTGAGGGTCATCTAGTCCAACCCCCTGCAATGTAGGAATATGCTGCTGTCCCATACAGGAAATCAAACCTGTAACCTTGGTGGTATCAGAACCACGCTCTAACCAATGGAGCTATCCAGATATTCCCATCAATTCGAGGCCCATTTAACTTTCTTTTCTTAATCCCCACCCACTGAGGAAATAAAAGCCAGCCATTTCCTCTCCCCCTTCCCTTCTGTTATCAAGTGATCAACTTAGTATGTCATTACCAACCAGAGTCAGTAATGTTATGTGTGGCAGAGGAATAAGCTGTGTTAAAGATGAGGAAATGCAGAGCAAAAAAAGTTATGCCTCTTCACTTCAGAAAACAAGCAACGACACGGCGGGGGGCTTTGCAAAACATTTGATCACGTGGGCAGCCAAGATAACCTTACAGTAGCGTTTTCCTGACGATTCTAGACATTATACTTGCTATGAGAAACACTAGTGTCGTGTTGTACTGGAATCCAGCATTGCCTGAGCTCTGTGAGTACAGCTTTCTCCCAATTGAAGTGCAGAGTGTTTGAGGACCAGGACATTCACACTGAAACCAAAATGCTTATTTACGAAGCTATTGTACTACCAACCTTACTGTGTGCTTGTGAAACGTAGACCACTTGAAAATGACACCTCCAACTCCTTGAAAGATTCCGTCAACAGTGTCTTCGAAAAGTTTTAGATATCGCCTGGGAAGACAGGCGAACTAATGCCAGAGTACTGGTAGGAGCAAAGATTACCAGTGTTGAAGCAACGATTCTTCAACATCAACTTCGTTGGAGTGGTCATGTTGTGCGGATGCCTGATGATCGTCTTCCAAAGCAACTACTCTATTCCAAGCTTAAAAATGGAAAGCGTAATGCTGGTGGTCAAGAAAAGAGGTTCAAAGACTCTCTCAAGGCAAATCTTTAAAAATGTAGTATAAACACCAACATCTGGGCCTGCGAGCGCTGCAACTGGAGAACAGCCTTTACCAAAGGTGTCAAGGGCTTTGAAGACACTCAAACTCAGAACGAAAGGGAGAAATGTGCTAAGAGGAAGGCACGCTTGGCAAACCCTCACCAAGATCAAGTCCTGCCCAGAAACCTACGTCCCCACTGCGGAAGGACATGTGGATCCAGAATTGGCCTCCACAGTCACTTAGGGACTCACTTTTGAAAACCGTGTTTATGGAAGGCAATCTTACTTGGCTACGAGTGATTGCCAAATAAGAAGAAGAGTTGTACTGGTATTTCTCACAGCAAATGCACAAAGCAAAGACGTCAAAAGCATTCCTGTGTATGTGAATCTGTTTTGTACTCTGGACAAAACAGGGCTCTCAGAGATGTGTTTAATGGTGTACGTGCACATGGAAGGGAGTCCCACACTTTGTAGGTTTGCTGCAGGAAGCACTAGTGCCTTTTCACACATCACACGGGTCAAACACACATTGGCCTCTGAAAGTGCCTTCGGCAGAGAGCCTCAACCGGTTTTGACTTCCTCATGAGTGTATTTGCATGATCCCTATGATTGTAAATACAGTCCGGTCTTCACTTATTGTTCAACTTTGTTTTCAAGTGCACCCTTGAAACCTCCTGGCTTTGCACCCAAGAACAATTGCAAGTATCCATTGGATCATCCCAACTTGGCCCACATAGCATGAAGTGAGTGCTACCCTCAGTTGGTGCAGAGTTCAGGTTTCAGTTCTGTGTCGAAGTTGCCTTTTCAAAGGGTGCAAAACACCACTCCTCATGAACAATCACCTTTTCATGCGAAACAAAGCTGCAAGAACATAAGAAAAACCTTGTGAGGGCCTGAGACTCGGGCTCGGCCTCGGAACCAGAGGAGTCTCAGTCCGCACCGGATCCTTTGCCTCAGGCGGCATCTGAACCTAGTCTGGGGCCTGATTCTGAAGAGCCCCAGTCTGCACAGGTTCTCCTGCAAGAAGCACCAGCTGGGCCGAGTCAGGGGCCTGAGCCTGCCCTGGCTACAGATGCGGGGATTACCTCGTTGCCTTCAGCTGGGCAATCACTTACAGCTGCTCCACTACCAGTTGGGTCAGGAGAGGCTGAGGCGGCCCCTGGGTCCAGTAACCCACCGACATCTCCTGAGCTGCAGAGACTAAGGTCTGAGAGAAGGAGAGACCTGAGTACTTGCAGGAGGAGTGCTCGCCTTCGGGCGAGACAGGGAGGTGAGTCACTGGGGGATCAGGACTGGCCGTTACCCCAACAAAGATAAAAGGCTGTCGGGCCCCGCCCCAGGTTGCGGAAGCAACATTGCTGTTTGCTAGAACCTGTCTGAGACCCTGCGCCTGACCTTGCCTGGTTTCCTGCCTCATGTCCTGCTTTGGCCCTCGTGGAACCCTTGGATTGGTTGGTGAAGATCAGCATGGACTTGCCCATGGAAGGATCTTGATTAGCACTGGCTAACATAATTTGGAATCCCAGTCTATATTTGATCCAAGTTCTACATGGATGCTCCTCATGACTTGCCCAAAGGGTATTGTTTTTGTCTGCTACCTGTGTACCCTGCCTTTCCATTAAAATAATAGTAATGCCCAAGGAACCTAACAACAAAATTCAATACGTTACAAATAAGTAACATCACGATAAAGCCATATAAAAATATAAATGGAGTATATGAAAGGGTGGGGGGAGGAGAAAAAAATGGCACACAATTAAAAACATGGTGAGTTGTATTCACTTAAGTTGTAATCAGAACAGACCTATTGAAATTAATGAATAATGGCGAACTTAGGTCCATTGTTTTCAGTGGGTCTAACCCAATTAACTTAAAATACAGAGGAAAAGACAGAGAGGGGAACTGCCTTCTAATATATAGCCTTTTGCTTTGTGGTTGAATACGTGGGCTTAGAAAAATCTACAGTGGCACTGAAAAGTTTTTATTATTTTAGAAATTTGCCTGCCATATCCCAAAGATTTGGAGCGAATTGCAGCCTGCTTCCCTTTGCTCTTGCTGACAATTGCGTCCCCACTTATGGGGGCTGGTGTCCAGTCTCTCCCCCGCATCTCAGCCACCCCGAATGGCCATTTTAGAGACCCTAAAGTAGCAGTGGGCAAACCCACAAGCTGCATGTGGTCCTCTAAGCCTCTTTGGCAGGCATAGTCTGAGCCAGGCATAGGCAAACTTGGCCCTCCAGATGTTTTGGGACTACAACTCCCATCATCCCTGACCACTGGTCCTGCTAGCTAGGGATGATGGGAGTTGTAGTCCCAAAACATCAGGAAGGCCGAGTTTGCCTATGCCTGCGTCTGAGTCTTCGGTGCCTGGGTGGGGATGGAGAAACAGTCTCACCACCTAAGCAGAGAGAGAGAGAGAGCAGGTTTTGGAAGGCATGGGTCCAGGGCCCAACAAGTAGTGGTCATCTTTTGAAATCCCAAAGAAAAAGAGCTGAAACCTATTCTTACTTGAAGCGGGCATTTCTGCAAAGATTGTAGTTTTTGTTGGTGTGTCCTAGCACTCCTCTGCTGCTGAAGGGTTTGAAATGGAACCACAGCATCATCTTTTCTCGTCGCCCTTCAATGTCATCTATTGCCTTGGGAAATGTGGCCACAAGTTTCTAATGGCGTTGGGTGGTGGGCAGAACACAACCTTGCATTCCATTGGCCAGCATTCACTAGGGATGACAGCAGAATGGGCCTCTTGTTATGTAAAACTCTGCTTACCTCACATAGCGGGTGGGGAGTTGCCCCATTACTTTAGAGGGCCCTTGTATATATAATTTTGTAAATTCACTATCACTTTTAAAATTTGTCATCGTACATAAATCATAATCATTTTACAAATAGGATTCTCAGAATCCCCGAACTTCCCTCCATGGTTTCCCCAGATATTCTTTTCAAACTGCATCCATATTTTCTTAAATCTGAATTTTTATCATAGTTCTCGCTTCATTACAAGCGTTTTTAAAATCCTGCCAATGTTCTCAATTGTTTACAGTCTTCTTTCAAGTAACTTTTAAAACTTCCTCATTCTTTTCTTTATTAAATTTATTGTCCTCTTGATCTCTGATTTTCCCGGTCATTTCCGCCAATACGGCATAGTCCATCGTCTTTATCAGCCATTCTTCTTTTGTAGGTAGGTTGTCCTCCTCCCATCTTTGGGCAAGCAGCATCCGTGCAGCTGTTGTAGCATAAATAATCTGTTCTGTTCCTTAGGAATTTCTGGACCTAAAATTACTAGTAAGAAAGCTGTAGGTTTTGTTTTTGTTTTGTTTTTTTACAAAAGTTATTTTAAACATTTTTTTCAACTCGTTGTAAATTATTTTCCAATATACCTTTTTTTTTTTTTTGCATGTCCACCACATCTGGTGTAATGTGCCTTCCTTCTCTTTACACTTCCAACATGTATTTTTAGCAGTTCTATACATTTTTGCTAGTTTAGTAGGAGTTAGGTACCAGCGATACATCATTTTCATATAATGAGTTACAGACGCTTCAGGTTACAGACTCCACTAACCCAGAAAGAGTACCTCGGGTTAAGAACTTTACCTCAGGACGAGAACAGAAATCGTGCTCCAGCGGCGCGGCGGCAGCGGGAGGCCCCATTAGCTAAAGTGGTACCTCAGGTTAAGAACGGTTTCAGGTTAAGAACAGACCTCCGGAACAAATTAAGTTCTTAACCTGAGGTACCACTGTATATTATTATGCTTTGTAGTATGTTTGTATTATCATGCTCCGTAAAATATCTTCTTAATGTTGTATACCACCCTGGGATCTTTTCATAAAGGGCACAACAACAACAACAACAACAACAACAACAACAACAACTGTCTCTGTCTACATGATCACCACCACCCAAAAGCAGACACAGAAATGTGAGGTGGTGGGAATCTAGGTGAATGTGAAATCTTGGTGAGGAGAAGTAGGCCTGAGAAGGGATAATTTAGAATACTGTACAATGATTGGCAGAGTTAAGCATACCCTTCCCTCTGTCTCTCCTCCTCTGCTCAAATCCACCCCCTTGTGAAGCTGCTTGTTCTTTAAAGAAAAACAGAGCCAGGGCTTTGTTACTTGGATCTGCGTGTAAAGGTAAAAAGGTGAATGGTAAAGGACCCCTGGATGCTTAAGTCCAGTCAAAGGCGACTATGGGGTTGCCGCGCTCATC